GGGACTTAAATCTTTGTTCTCTAACCCTCCCCCTCCAGTGCAATTTGACAGTCCGGAGTGGGAAAGGACCTCAGGCTCAGCCAAGGAGCTCCGGAGACACCCACCCAGAAGCCCCCATCCTGCAGAGCGCGTGGACCCTGCCCTACCCCTGGAGAAACAGCCGTGAGTGAGGAAACTGAAGATGGAAGATCTGGGTTGAGATGGAAGAGCCGGCCCCATACCAGCTACAGATTCACCGGACTAGGAGGCCTGGTTCATTCACTCATTTAAAAAATATATATATATATATCTTTATTGATTTCAGAGAGGAAGGTAGAGGGAGAGAGAGGGAGAAACATCAATGATGAGCGAGTCATCGATCGGCTGCTTCCTGCATGCTCCCGACTGGGGATCGAGTCCACAACCTGGGCATGTGCCCCCACCGGAGACTGAACGGCGGTCTCCTGGATCCTAGGTCGATACTCAATCGCTGAGCCATGCCCGTCCGAGCCATTCACTCATTTTTTTTGTTCATTTCTTCAACTAATCTTCATTGGGTACCAGCGCCTGCTGTGTGCCAGACCATCTAGCTAAGTGCAAAGCAGAATCAGATGGAGTCTCAGTTCCCTCTGGTATCAGATTCTGGGTTCAAATCCCTACTCTATATCTCCTGGCTGTATGACCTTGAGCATGTCACTTAACTTCTCTGAGCCTTGGGCCTAAAACCCCGAAGATGGTACCTAGCTCAAACAGAGTAAAGGGGGCCCTGGCTGGTTTGGCTCAGTGATTAAAGCATCAGCCCACGGACTGAAGGGTCCCAGGTTGGATTTCGGCCAAGGGCACGTATCTCAGTTGCAGGCACGATCACTGGCCACAGTCGGAGCGCATGCGGGAGGCAACCAATCGATGTGTCTCACATCGATGTTTCTCTCTCTTGCTTGCTCACTCTTCCACTCTCTCTGAAAAGCAATGGAGGAAAGAAAAATCAAACAAACAACAGAGTAAAGGGGGATTTCCTCCCTTCTCTTGGGTGGGGCTTATAAAACCTGAGAACAAAGAAACAGAAATCATTCTCATCCCCAGGATAGGATGGGATAGAACTGGGAAGACAGGATTTTGAAGAGATCCCAACTTTGGGCTGGGTTGAGGTGCACAAGCTGGGAAGGTTTGGGTCTTTTCTGTGTCCCTCCAGTCCCTCCAGCTTAGGAGGAACTCCCAGGAGCAGCTCAGGAGCCCTTGAGGCACTCCCTGAGCCCCTACCCAGATCCCAGCCCTGTGGGTGTGTTTATCACAGTCATTCCCAAACCTTGTAGGTGGACAATGCAAACCTGGCTAATTAACACTGAAGCACAGGGTGAGAAGTTTATTCTCTTTGCAGTTTTCTTTCAATACAAACAATCACGAATTCCCTGATGCTCATCTGTCTCTGACACGTTGCTCGCAACTGCTACCTCTTTTTGAGCATGTTAAAGAAAAATATTGAGTAAAGAAATGGTACAGGTGGGTGGGGATACAGGATGTGGCAAATCTGGGGAAAGTGACATGCAAGTGATTCAAGTTGGGGAATTAGTGAGGGGACTGAATTATCCAACCCAGGGAGGCTGTTAAGATCAAGGTCAGGTGTGACTAAATTGGTAGGAGCAGCTCCAGCTGCCTCCTTGGGGAAACCAGGCTCCTCTTGAGAAACCCAAGGGAATTTTTCTCCTGATTGCCTGGAGGTCAAAAGTCCTTTAACCAGCTGTGCCTGCACCAGACCTCCGGGTGTGTTTGAAAGGGGATCGCCCTTCCTGAGACATCTACCCCCACACCCCAGGTGGTTTCATGGCCCTCTGAGCCGGGCAGATGCCGAGAACCTCCTCTTGCTCTGCAAGGAAGGCAGCTACCTCGTGAGGCTCAGCGAGACCAGCCCCCAAGACTGCTCCCTATCCCTCAGGTGAGACCCCAGCCTCCTGGAGGGACAGAAGGTCACAGGACTGCATGGGTCATGTTTTTGGGTTTATTCACTGGGAGCAGAGGGATGTAGCTCCAGCAGCCAGTAGGCTGGGCTTTCAGGCCAATGAGTGGGACTTATGGGACCTATGGGTGGGGCTTCCAGGGCGACCATAAGCAAGGTTCCTACTGAGAATGAACTCTCTGTCGCTGGAGGTATGCAAGAAGATGGGGTGGAAGCCATACAATAGATCTAGGACTTGGGTGAGATGGAGAACCAGATGTCAGTTTTCTTAGGACTCCCCAGTCCAAAAGTTAAAGTATATTCACTTGTGTCTGTCCGGGGCCAGAATCTGAGTAGCCCTGTAGGCATTTGAGTTTGAGACCCTGGTTCTACATGTTTCTCTGCCTAAGATTCTAACTATGTCTGATTATACAACACTCCTAAGTTTCTACTAGACATCTGAGTGTGAGATTCCTAAAAGGTCAAGATTAAAGAGGGCTTTGGAGGCAGGTTCAAATCCTGCCTCTACATTTCCTAGCTGTGTGACCTTAGCTAAATTACTTAACCTCTCTGGGCCTTGGTTTCCTCATTTATGAAAGGAAGATAATAGCATCAATTTCATGGTAATACTGCAATGATTAAATGGAAAAAAATACATGAAAAAATGTTGAGAACAGTGCCCAGAAACAGGAAGTACTTGATTCTTATTAATGATGTTGATAAAATGATCCCCAAGTTCTATATCATTCCACCCATCAGAGATAGAGAGAAAGGAAAGAGACCCCAGAGTGGGAGTTAACTAGTAGGGAGGTCAGGTAGGATAGCAGCAGGAGTCAGGAGATTTGGAGAGAAAGTGTAGTTCATGGTCCAGGGGAGGAACTGTCCCCTGGCAGGACCTTCTGCCTGCCTTGATAGGGGACAAGCATAGAAGGCCTTCCTGCTGTGTGGAGCAAGCCAACACCTTGGCACCAACTGGTTGTTTACCAGGAATATTTGGGGATGCCAGCCACTGGGTCCTAGAAGCAATGATGGGGTGGCTTCGGGGTTGGAGAGCATGCTGGGGTCTGGGGTGCTCAAGGCCCCCTGTGACACTGTTCCCCAGAAGCAGCCAGGGCTTCCTGCATCTGAAGTTTGCGAGGACCCGAGAGAACCAGTTGGTGCTGGGTCAGCACAGTGGCCCCTTCGCCAGTGTGCCCGAGCTGGTGCTCCATTACAGCTCACGCCCCCTGCCCGTGCAGGGCGCTGAGCACCTGGCCCTGCTTTACCCGGTGGTCACGCAAGGCCCTTGCCCTGGAACCTCTGCCCCCTGCCCTGCTCCGTGAGGCCGAGATTCACTGGCTACAAATGCTGGAGGTCTCCCAGTCCTGGAGGAGGCCAGAGGGAGACTTCCTACTCCTCCAGGCTCTGGGTCTTTATCAGGGCTGCCCTCTCAGCCCCCTTCTGGGTCCTAGGGTCCAAGATTGTGTCTGAAAGTCCTCCTCTGGCCTGGAAAATAAATAAGTTATTGTGTATTTCAAGTGTTCTTTCTGGGAGGCCGGGATCCCAGCCTCTTGGGAGGGAGAAGGGTATCCTTGGTGCCTCGTTTTTCGGACAGAGCTGGGGTTGGAGCCTGAATTGTTTGCAGGTAGGGACCAAAACTCAGAAAGCTGTAGTCAGTGGAGCCCCACAGATAAAAAAGATAAACCAAGAGAGGGCTCTCAGGCCACCTCTACCCCCATCCAGCCCTTCCTCCCCATTGGGGCGGGCAGCCTGCTGCTGCTGCTGCTGCTGAAAGGACATCTGTCCCCATGGAAACAGCAGAAGTGGGGGAGGGGAGGCTGGCCCAGCTGGTGTCACTTCAAGGTGACTGTCGGGCAGGAGACCCCAAAGGCTGATAAATGCTAGGGAGTCTCAATCTCTCTCCTCACCCCCCATCTCAGAGCCTGCCTGGGGGGAGATACCAGTTGAGAACGGGGGGCTTCCAGCTCAGGGCACTATTTGGAGGCTGGGGGCATCACTTCTCTGCTAATTAGACATGTCCCTCCAAGGATAAGGGGGGAGCTGATGAGTTGTCACAGAGCCCCCATTGCAACAGTGGACCTCTCCAGCCATCTCTGGGGATTCTGGGACCCCCAGATGACCCCTGGAATCTTTTTAGCACTTCCAAATCGCCACAGAGTCTGGCTTTGCTTTCTTCAGGAGCCTTCGCTGGGTGTTCTAGGGACAAGGGAGACATCCACGGTCAAAGAAGTAAAGATAGGGGTCTCAGGATGGGCTGCCGGACTCCCTGACAACTCTGGAACTAGTAATATCTTTACACAGCCATTGGAGGGTCTTCTTTGAGTCTCCAGGGTCCTGTCTCCTCTTCCCACTTCAAGGAATCCGCTTGGCCTTGGCTGCCCAGAGGAGCCTGGGCCAGGAGAGTCTGCCTGTAGAATGGGGTGACTGGGGCTGGGGCAGAGGCAAGGTTTGGGGGCCAGTTGCCGTGGGAGGGGGGGGAAACAAGATAGAATAGAAGCTATGGCCCTGCTGGTCCTCCCTGGGGGTGTCCAGCACCTTCCCCTCCACAGGCCATGCCTCAGTCTTCTTTGGGGCCCCCTGGGCTGGTATAGGATGTTGCCCAGTAGAGGGCATTACCTGTTGAGGGGGATGGCAAAGACCAAGAAGGGAGAGTCACTTAAGAGAGCCGGACTCTTTCCAGCTCACCTTCTGGGGGCTTTGTCTCTGCTTCTGAAAAGCATGGATGTGGGGGCTATTCCCCTCTTTTCAGACCCCAGCCCCACTCCCCTCCTTCCGAAGCGGTGAATGGGGACACAGCCCATCCTTGTCAAGCCGCTGCAGCTCCCGCCTCCACCGCGAGGAGGAGGGGGCGCCAGTGGACGGCCTCGCGTGAGAGCCAGCCGCGGCTACCTGCGCCCCTACCTGCGCCCCTGCGCCCCCGGAGGCGCGCCCAGCGCTATGCAGCCGTGGGCATGCCGAGGCCACCAGGAGCACACAGGGCCCAGGGTGAAAGGGTGGGAGCGGGGATGGGAGGGGGCGAGGTACGGGGGCAGGGGCGGCGTCGGAGGAGGGCCCGGCCAGGCTCCTGTGGGAAGCCAGAGGTCTGTTGGTTTGGTAGCAGGCCACCCCCAGAGAGGAAACCCCTCTCTCAGAGTGCTCATCTTTGAGTCCAGCCTCCTGGACCCTTCAGGGTCAGGGCCTCCCACCCCATGTGGGACCTTGGGGTCTCTGTCCCTGCCGGGCTGTGTGAGTTTGGGCAGGGTGGTATCTAGCAGGCTGGAAAAGTATTTCTTTTTTAAAAAAATATATTTTTATTGATTTTTAGAGAGAGAGGAAGAGAGAGGGATAGTGAGAAACATGGATGAGAGAGACATCTATTGGCTGCCTCCTGCACCCCCCCCCCCCCCCCCCCCCCCCCC